TTTATCGACGAATTTTTGTTATTTCGGCTTGCGGAAATCGTCAGATTATAAATTTTTCGTTATCCTTGAATTATTTCCTTCAAAATAAAAAAAAATTAGCTACGCTCGAGAATGTCGAAATTACGTTATTTTTTACAACTTTGCTGCCCTCCCCTTGCTTTACGTCACTCTCAAATTGTCAGATTACCGGAATATACACTTTTAAGCAGGTAATTAAATTACCCTACCTTAATCTGACGCGCTCGAGAATTTCTGATGATCAATTTTTTTTTACTAATCTAATCCTTCATCCCTCACAGGCGGCCTTATATATATGGGGCACATATTTGGTAGAGGTACTTAACCAGGTACAAGGTATCCCCCTGTATATTAATCTGTCGCGCTTCAGTAAATCCCGAAATCCCCGCTTGGGCTCCCCTGTTATTAGTAAAATTGTTCATGATGAAATCACTGATAATAGACAACTTTGACTTTCACTAATGTGACAATTCTATCACTGTCAGCTGGTCTCCAAAGCAGGTATTTATGATATGCAAAGTGGCTTCAATTTTGTTGCTCGAAAACAAAATGATTTGAAGAAAACACAAGCAACAAAAAAGTTGTATTTTCAGTTGATCAACCTGAAAAAATAAAAAACTACAACAACATGTCAGTGGCGTATTTTTTTTCCAATAATGTTGGCTGTGGTGCCCACTGAGACCCCACTGGTACTCCACTGGACCTAATAACTGCAATATAGTTGGAGCCAAATTAGCGCATCATTACTTCAATAACTGTAGCAAATTTCAACCATTTCGGTGTGTGGATATTAATGATATTTTATAAATACGGTTTTTTTTTAAACTTCAACACCCTGTATCTCAGAAACTAAGCAACTTCGAACATATGTTCATAAGATTTTTTTCCCAAAACGACCTAATAAATCACCATCTGATATTTCGTACTTTAGTTAGGAAACAACTTGTATGATGGTAAACGATTTTTGGCCAATTTTTCTCTACGATTTCAAATTGAACCATAGCGCTGCTGAAACAGTACCTAAAAGCTGTCTACAAATAATACTTGACCTGTGACATATCAGACGGTCTTTTACAAATCCATCTGTTAGGAAGTTGAGCATCAAACTGAAGGATTTATTTCTATTGAAATATAGTTTTCCGGTTCTGAACGAAGCTTGTGCATCTGCAAAGAAGCAACATGAATTGTTATTAACAGAAACTAAGCGCTCCTACTACCAAAGTGAAATATTTAACGCAAACAATCCTGCAAAAATGGCTTGGAATATAGTATCTGATTTGACTAATCGTACGAGAAAACATTCCTTTAATAATATCTCTATCTTGCATGAAAATGAATCTGTTGAAGACCCAGAGAGAATCAGTAATTTATTTAATGAATTTTTCATAAATATGTCAATGAAACTTCTCAGTGAACATTGGCCTCAAAGTACAGCTCAACTTCCTGAACCTGAAATAATTGGGTTCAATGAGTCCCTGTTTCTCGCACCCTTTTCAGAACCTGAATTATTGCAATTGATATCGTATAAATTGAAGAATAAAACCTCGTCGGGGCCAGATGAGATTCCGTCATTTATTTTGAAGAAGGTGTTACATCACATTATTTCGCCTCTATCTTATCTAGTCAATCTTTCTTTCACTTGTGGACATTTTTCATCTTTATTGAAAATCGGCAGTCATCCCAGTATACAAAAAGCAAAATCGACAAATCTTGAAAATTATAGGCCCATTAATATCACATCCTGCTTTACTAAGGTTTTTGAATATTCTTATCTCCAAAGACTTATGAATTTTGCATTAAGTCATAGCGTCTTCTCAGATAACCAACATTGTTTCCTGCCAAAACGCTCAACTCAGGGTGCGATGTTGTCATTTTATGAAAAATTGATCAAAGCAATCGAATCAGGTGAGTACCTTGTTGGGATCTTCTGTGATCTCAGCAGGACATTTGACTGCGTTCAGCATGAGGTACTCTTGCCTAAATTGCACAAATATGGTATTCGTGGAGTTCCACTCGACTGAATACGTAGTTTCTTGACTCACAGAAAACAGTTTGTTAGTATATCTTCCACTACATCTGCATATCAAAATATATCTATGGGCGTTCCCCACGGCTCTGTTTTGGGACCAATTTTATTTTTCTTCTACACGAATGACATGGATAATATCGAATCTTCTACCAGCTTTATTAGATCAGCAGATGAAACCAACATATTTGTCTCTGACAAATGTGAAAATACCCTTGAAACAAAAGTGTGCAACTGCGGTTGGTAACCTCATTTCATGGTGTCATAGTCAGAAGTATCTCTATTTCCATAGTAATAAGACAAATATAATTCGATTCCACAACAATGCGAAACTGTAACAATAAAAACTGATGAAATCTTGATTGAGCCTACTATATCACTTACATTTCTTGGAATTACTAAAGACGCTGGTTTAAACTGGAAACAACATTGTACCAACTTGATCTCAAAATTGAACTCATTATGTTTTATGTTCCGAAATCTTAAGAACATTTTGTTACGTGAACAATTATTTGTATTAACTGAGATGTTGAATAATGTAACTAATAATGCGTACTACAAAAAATTTGATTATTCCGAAAGGTGTCCCCCTTTAATTA